AGACGAACAGCTGGAGCCTGTTCCCAATGTGCACATGCACAGAATTTCCAGACGAAGGAAATAACTAGGAAACAAGGGTCGACTTGGGAATAAAGCCACAGGTAGATGTTGAATGGCCCCTCCCATAGGGAATAAAAGAGGAGCGAAAGGGGAGGGGTGTTTGCAGGAGACAATTAGTTCATTCCTGCATTCTTGCCAAGTATTGTGGCATCTGGAAGATATGGCCTGACCACTCTCCAAGCCTGAAAAAGGTCAGTAATTGTGAACTATCTTGAAAGACTGTGGGAGAGGAAAGATTTTGCTGGAGAAGAATTCACTGTAAATTAAATAAAAGGGGTTCATAGGGATGAGGACTCGGCTTCGTGCTGCTAGGGAAGCCTAGGTTAGAACACACTGCAAATTCCCTGCAGAGAGATGATGTCCACATAGGGTGAGCTGAGATAATGGGCTACCTCATTACTAGGGCTTGCATATGTTTTCATAACAAAGTATTCATGTATGCTCGTGCACACACACAAAAACACACTTTGTTCCTCTAGAGATTTTTCCTATCTTCAGTCTTGGGTCTTCATAACACATCAGCTTTGCTTTTCTGGAAATATGTGTCATCCAACTCCCCCCCGCCCACTCCATTGCAGAGATATATTTTATTAGGCTTCACACCATGGCTATAATTACTGGTGGATGTCACAAGATTTTGTAATGTGTTACAACAGTTCCAGTATCTAATACAGTTATTAAGAAATGTGTCACAATTTCAATTGTCTTTGTCTTTTGAAAGTTGCTTCCTCTACCAAGTCTACTGTAGGTTGAAATTACATCAGTTGAGGCAACATACATGATATATGCTGCATAAACACAGATTTATAAACTTGATCTTAGTGGTGATCTGGCTTATGCACTAGAGCAGGGGTCAGCAACCCGGGGCTCTGGAGCCGCATATGGCTCTTTCATCCCTCTGCTGTGGCTCCCTGTCGCCAGTTGGCTCCACAATTGATAGAGTTTTCAGTGAGGACTGGTAGAGGGAAAAAAGGATGCCACACTAGGAGAAGACTCTATGGTGGGGAAACCGGACTTCCAGTTGGCTCCAGAATTGAACAGGGGGCTTCCAGTTAGGACCATTGTGGCTCTTTCAGTGTTTAAGGTTGCTGACCCTTGCATTAGAGAGTGTTTGCTATGTTGGCACTGATTAAAACTTTATTATTAAAGAAACATCATGTTAAAGTACTGAAAAACGCACATATACAATGCCTCACATAAGTAGATCAGCAATGACTTTACTGAGATTCAGGCAGAATCCTTTTCATCCCTGCTTGAATTACATTTTTTTGTTTATTTATTTAATTTGCATCCCATCTTTAATATGTTTACAAATAAGTCAAGGCAGAGGACATATCCAACAACCTCCCTCCTCTTATTTTCCCCACAACAATAACCCTGTGAGATGAATTGAGTTCAGAGAGAGTGGCTGGCCCAAAGTCACCCAAAGCTGGCTTTCATGGCTAAGGTGGGACTAGAACTCACAGACTCCTTGGTTTTATCCTGGTGCCTTAACCACTAGATCAAATTGGCTCTCAATTGGATTGGAACTGGAATCTTCTATACAGAGAATAGAGATATACAGCCATGGCGGCGCAGTGGTTAGAATGCAGTATTGCAGTCTACATCTGCTGACTGCTGGCTGCCAATACTTTGGCACTTCGAGTGTCACCAGTCTCATGGTTGGCTCAGCCTTCCATCCTTCAGAGGTCCATACAATAAGGACCCAGATTGTTAGGGGCAATATGCTGACTCTGGGAAATGGTTAGAGAGAGCTGTAAAGCACTGTGAAATGATCTATAAGTCTCAGTGTTACTGCTATTGCTATAACTTCCCAATTGCTCAATTCATCTTTGGCAAGTAGATGAGTCCAACTCCAAATAACTGCCAGCCATTGTGGTAAGATTATTTGGGCCCTCACTAAACTGTGTAAAGGATTAGCCAATAATTTACAGATTAAAAGAGTTGGAAGTGACCTTGTGGGTCATCTTTAGGGCCCAGCATACCCTACACCAGGGGTCGGTAAACTTAAACACTCTAAGAGCCATTTGGGCCCGTTTCCCACAGAAAAGAAAACACTGGGAGCCACAAAGGTCCTAACCGGAAGCCCCCTGTTCAATTCTGGAGCTGACCGGAAGTTCNCTTTATTGGCCAAGTGTGGGTGGACACAGAAAGAATTTGTCTTTGGTGCCTATGCTCTCAGTGTACATAAAGAAAAATAAAATACATATTCATAAAGAATCAAGATACAACACTTAGTGATAGTCGTAGGTTACAATAAACAATCAAATCA